CAATGCCTGACAACATGACCCAGCCCCCTGCAGTGATAATCCCATCTGTCACCTGCTCCGGAATGCTACGACAGCGAGATCCAGTGATCTTTCACGCGACCGACGACCAAGACCCCGAAGACTGGCTGTCGCAGTATGAAGCGGCAAGCACTCACAATAAGTGGGATGACACAGACAAGCTCGCTTACCTCAATTTCTATCTCGCGGGTGTGGCAGAACTGTGGATTAACATCCACAAAGCAGAAATACCCTCTTGGCGAACCTTCAAGACACGCTTCGCAGAAGTCTTTGGCAGACCCGCTGTTCGCAAGCTCCGCGCCGAACAGCGCCTGCGCTGCCGCGCACAGCGCTCAGGCGAGACCTTTACCTCGTATATTGAGGATGTTCTGGACCTCTGCCCTGGTATCGATTCCGAAATGTCTGACACTGACGAAAATACGGCACATCATGAAAGGTATCGAGGACGACGTCTTTCACATGCTCGTTGCGAAAAACCCGCAAACCGTCGCCCAGCTTATTCAGCACTATCAGAGTTTCAACGAGCTGCGGAGAGAGCGGATTTCTACTCGACAACCAAACCTCAACACGACCTCTACATCTGGGGTTTACCATTGGCACCGTTTCCTCCGAACAAACCACGTTAATGCAGCAAATCCAGCAGTTTGTCCGAGAAGTTTCGCGCTAATTGTCTCTTGTGCCGTACGTCCCGACCAGTGCGCACACACTGACCCCAACGCTCCGCAAGGCAACAGAAGAGCAAGTTTCTGACGCCCTGTCTCCCACATACAATCCTCCACCTATCTCCGCCCCTCTCATTTACGCTGAGGCCACCAGACGATCGCCGCCGTCGCTACCAACCGTCACGGATCTTGCTAGACAGCCCCGTGCCCTCTACACAGCAAGTCCACCTACCCGTCGCCACCCCACACCACCATCAACAAAACCTTGCCGCACTCCAGACAACAGGCCAATTTGCTATTTCTGCCAGCTTCCTGGTCACGTAGCACACTACTGCCGTCGTCGAGATTACAACCCAACTGCTGGTGAGGCGACTTACGACTCCTATCGTCCAGAGCCACCACAGCCGTCTTCGTTCCAACCCACGTCGTATCAGTCGCCGCCACGTCGCCACGGCTTGGACAGGAATCGGTGGCCCTCACCACGGCGCCGCTCTATTTCTTCGATGCTTCCTCGATCACCACCCACCCAAACGGAAAACTGACCATCGCAGTTCCTGAGGCAAGAGCTGCGCATATATCAAAACCTTCAAGGCCTCGGTTTTTACCAGCTAATGAAATAACTGTGCATATTGATGGTGTACCTGCGAAAGCGCTCGTTGATACTGATGCTGCCGTGTCTGTGCTAAGTGGTGAACTGTGCCGCAAGTTGAAGAAGCTTACGCTGCCGCTCTCCGATGTCTCTCTCCGCACGGCCACTGCGCATCACATCCAACCTTCTGCGGCATGCACAGCTCGACTGGTCATCCAAAATATTTTGTATGTAGTCGAATTCGTTGTGTTTTCCCCATTTTCACACGATATCATCTTAGGCTGGGACTTCCTCTGCGCTCATCATGCCGTCGTTCACTGTGCGCGTGCCGAACTAGAGTTGTCGACGATGTGTGAACTGCCCCTGTGTGAAGCGCCGACGTTTGAAGGACCTTCTTTCAAGCCGCTATCTTCCCGAGTCACCGTAGCAGCGGACACTCACATCCCTCCTCTATCCTGTGTTCATGTGCCACTCTTCTGCGACGACACACCCTCTGTCACCGCCCTCTTTATCCCCTCCGACACCTTCGGCTCTCGCAAAAGCTTCCTTCTCCCGTTCTCAGTTGTCACCGTAGAAAGCTCACATGGCTCCATTTATATAACGAACTCGCTTCCTTCCCCGGCCATATTATTCCGGGGCGAACTCCTCGGTCACCTTGAGGAATTGATTCCGTTTCATCCAGTCACCTACCTGATGACTTGTCATCATCTCACTTAAACACCATTACCTCTGATACCACTCCCACTTCATCTCTGGAGGTTCTTTTCCCATCAATTGACCCTAAACTTCCCACTGCTCCGCGCACCCAACTCCTGGCTTTACTCAATCGCTTCAATATGTCATTTGACCATAACCAACCTTCTTTGGGTCGCACGCCTGCCATCGTTCACAAAATCGACACCGGTAGCCATGCACCTTTGCGCCAGCGCCCATATCAAGTTTCTCACACTGAACGCCGTGCCATTGATGATCAGGTGAACGATATGCTTCGACATGGTGTAATAAAACCTTCAAACAGCCCTTGGGCCTCTCCGGTTGTACTGATGAAATAAAAAGGATGGCGGCACCAGATTTTGCGTTGATTACAGGCGTCTTAACAAGATCACCAGGAAAGAGGTTTATCAGCTGCCCAGAATTGATGACGCCCTCGATTGCCTGCAAGGAGCAGAGTTCTTTTCTTCTTTAGATCTTCGATCCAGCTACTGGCAGGTCCCTATGAATGAAGCCGACCGCTCCAAGACTGCGTTTGTAACGCCTGACGGATTGTACGAGTTTAACGTCATGCCATTCGGTCTCTGTAATGCGCCTGCCGCCTTCGAGCGTCTCATGGACAACATCCTTAGAGGCTTCAAATGGAACACATGGCTGTGCTATTTGGATGACGTCGTTGTTTTCCCGAAGGACTTCAACTCCCACCTAAGCTGCCTCGCAAGCGTCCTGACTTGTTTTTCGAACGCTGGACTGCAACTGAATTTGAAGAAATGTCACTTCGCTGCCCGCCAGCTTACCATCTTAGGGCATGTTGTTAGCAAGCATGGTGTCCGTCCTGATCCAGCCAAACTTGGCGCTGTCGCCGACTTTCCCAGGCCGGCTACACTAAAAGAACTCTGCAGCTTCATCGGGCTCTGCTCATATTTTCGCCATTTTGTGCGCAATTTCACCACCATAATCGCACCCCTGACGCAGCTACTTGCGGACAACCAAGACCTCTTAGCGTGGTCCCCAGCATGCAACGAAGCATTCGCGTCTTTACGCCATCTTATGACATCACCACCTATCCTGCGCCACTTTGATCCAGACGCTCCAACCGAAATCCATACGGACGCTAGTGGAGTTGGCCTCGGCGCTATTCTTGCTCAGCGTAAATCTGGCTTCGATGAGTATGTTGTGTCCTACGCTAGTCGCACCCTCACTAGAGCAGAAAAGAACTATTCAGTCACCGAGAAAGAATGCCTTGCCATTGTTTGGGCAATCACGAAATTCCAACCTTACGTATATGGCCGCCCATTTGACGTCCTGACTGATCACCACGCATTGTGTTGGTTGTCGTCATTAAAAAAAAGACCCATCTGGTCGCCTAGCTCGCTGGGCACTACGTCTCCAAGATTACGATATTCGTGTAATTTTTCGGTCAGGCCGCAAGCATTCAGACGCTGACGCTCTTTCTCGCTCGCCACTTCCCCAAGAATATGTTGCAGCGTCTGTTTCTAGCTGCGAATGTTCTTCACTTGAACAGGCCGACATGTCCGCTGAGCAACGCCAGGATCCATGGATAGTGTCTCTCTTAGAGTACCTGTCTCAGATATCTCCACGTACCGACAACCGTTTACTTCGGCGAACTGCTCGCCATTTTACCATCCGTGACGGTCTTCTGTACCGGCAAAACTACCTATCTGATGGCCACAAATGGTTGCTGGTAATACCTCGCCACCTACGTTCTGACGTCTGTGCCTCCTTCTACGCGGATCCGCAATGCGCCCACGCAGGTGTAGTGAAGACGTATGCTCGCCTACGAATTCGATATTACTGGCGCGGAATGTACTGCTTTGTTAGGCAGTACGTCCGTTCATGTTCCTAGTGCCAACGCCGGAAGAGCTCCCCTCCCACAACCACAGGGCCACTCCAGCCACTGCCTAGTCCTTCTCGGCCTTTCAGACGCATCGGAATCGACTTGCACGGTCCCCTACCATACACACCAAATGGAAACCGCTGGGTCATCGTAGCCATGGACCACCTTACGCACTATGCCGAAACTTCGGCGCTTCCTGAGGCCACTGCGCATGAAGTCGGCCTGTTCATTCTGCACAACATCGTCCTTCAGCATGGTGCACCCTGCGAGCTTGTCAGTGACCGTGGGCATTGCTTCTTGTCAGAACCTGTAGAAGCCCTCCTACGCGAATGCAACATCGTGCACCGAACAACGACCGCATACCACCCCCAAACCAACGGGATGACCGAGCGATTCAATCGCATGCTGGGTGACATGCTCTCCATGTATGTTTCTGATGACCATACGAACTGGGACCGCATGCTGCCATTCGTTACTTACGCTTACAATAGCGCAATGCAATCGACAACTGGATTCTCCCCATTCTTCTTTCTTTATAGTTGGTAATCTTCATCGTTCTTAGACACTATCCTTCTGTACCGCCCAGACCCTTCAGAATCGACAACTTTGGCCGAAGCCGCCACATATGCCGAAAAATGTCGGCAGCTAGCACGTTCGCTAACTACGCACGATCAGGCTCGCCAGAAGCACTCGCATGACCGACGCTCATCCCCTTCGTCATACGCGCCTGGGGCAATCGTGTGGCTCCGCGTGCCATCGTCTGCCCGAGGCCTTTGCTCAAAGTTCATACCCAAGTATGACGGTCCGTACCGGATCCTGCGCCAGACTTCACCAGTCAATTACATAGTTGAACCTATTCAGCCACCTACAGATCAACGGCGCTGCGGGCGCGAGACTGTGCACGTCGAGTGTCTAAAACCTCACTACGACACACCAGTCCTGTCTGTGCCATAGGTCGCCAGGATGGCTCCTTTCGCACCAGGGAGTCAATGTAGTGACAAATACGGGCTCTAAAAACGACGAAGAAGACGTTTGTTGTGGCGGAGGCTCGTGCTGCTGCAGCTGCTGCTGAAACCGCTGGTTACTGTCTCGGTGCTGTTAGGCCCAATAAACGGTTGCTCCACCCCGGCGTGCGTCTAGCAGTATTCTTACAACAGCAATGCTTTTTTGCTAAATGGTGTGAGCCCACTCTAGGCGAATAAGGTTCATTGACTGCACCCTATTCATATTATGTGTGTTGTTCGTTGCCAAATGGATGTGTGAAGCTCGCTGAACATTACTATTATTCTAGAGAGAAACGCCATCTGCCATTGAAAAGGATGTTCACGCTTGCCAAGTGTCAGCATTTTCGAGTTGTGTCATGCTTCTTGTATTTTTATTTGTAAGTGTTGAGCATGTGTCCTGCCTACTATGCATTGCTCTATTGCGACTGAATTCATTCTTTGCATCACGCATGCTGGTCTCTGATACTAAAAAAATATAAGCAAAGAAATCCCATACTTTTTGGGTGATGAGCTAAAACAACCGGAAATATGCATTCGCAATTTTTCTATTCAGTTCTTCATGAAATGAACGTAGGACAGCTGATAAGTTTATTCAGGAAGGTTACGTGGCTGACAGTGCTTAAACGCTCTTGTTCTTACTCAAATAGCAGCATAAAAAGATAACAGTTAAGCATGCAGCTTTCTTCGATTGATAATCTGCATGACAGTGTTGCAAAAAAGGTTCATTTATTGATGGGACAACAGGTTTTTTTTTTTTTTTTTTCAAGCAGATAATGTCTGCTCTTTTCATCAGTCTATAATAACAATGCCACAAAAGTGCTCAAGATAATATTAAAAAAAGACGTTTTGCATGAAAATATACGACATAAGTTTTGACCATCTGGATTTTTTAATACGAACCCAAATCTAAGCACACGAGTGTGTTTGTGTAAATTTCACCTATCAATAAAATTGTGCACGGCAACAGAAAATTAATCCCCTCCATGTCATTCTATTTTCTGTTCTTTTTAAGGGGCGATTTAAGTACTGAAGTGTCAGAATTTACTAGACAAAAATATTTCGCTGTAGTGGGGCCACCACTGTACAATAAAAAGTTATCTCAAGCACAATTAAAGATTGTTGCATAACCGATCAGCAACAGCGCCACAGTTGAACACCTCACAATAATGCAAAACATCATTTATAACTGAGTTGCTAAAACACCGCATTCACACAACATTTAATGCTCCTTTTGTTTAGGACAGTGCCAAGTGCACTTAACAATGTAATTCAACTAAGAAGCGGCACCTACATTGACATGATCCTGGCTAATGGAAAGTACGATGACAACACACTGCACTCTCAGCATGTGCACGAACTGATCTTATTGCAGTGCATATACAGCCTAGCAAGGCAATATGTGTCTGTAGATCGTGCTAGGCAAATGTTCAAGCAGTTAAACTTGCAGTAACAAAGCGGGACAATGTGACCCTTGAGGACAAGCATGAAGTATGCTCATATGCAAGCCTCACATGGCTAGCATATGACGCAGGGAGCAATCCAAACTCGTGGCTCCGAGATGGCACGCCGGCGGATTTCTCTTCGGCTGTCTCCATTGCACAGAATTTGCATCATTTCAGAGGTAGCCATTCTAACCACACAGAATGAGCATCATTTCAGAGGTGGGCATGGCCCGCTTTTCCTCTGCACGGCGGCACTCACTGTTTAAGGTCCGAAAGACTGCCGCAGTGTTGACGCAGCTTGCATGAGGCGAGCAAAAAATGATTTTTCGTCTTTACATGACCTCACACTGATTTGGAAATGTCAGGTCAAGGTGTATGAGAGGGGGAGGCAAAGTGCATGCTGGGGCCTATTTGTGCTCAAATGCGTTTTTTGTTTGTTTGTTTGTTTGTTTTACTGTTGTAGATATGAGTCTCCTATATCAAAGCTCTTAAAAGTGTCAAAGATCCGCATGAGCTAGAAATGCACTGTACCTCAAAGTTTGTGAACTGTATAGTAGGGGTAGTATGGGGGCACTGGCGAAGGAAACAAAACAGAGAACCATTATTAGGCTGGGCACAATGACACTCAGGTCTCGAACTCGCCCTACCGCTGAAGACGAATCAGTTGTAGCAGAGCCTAAGTAAAGTAAAGGTGTTTTTCTCATCCCCACCGAGTTCTCTGTGAAAACGTGACATGAGAAGTCACCTTGATAAAACAACAGATCACTATATCAAAAACGACTGATCATCGCCAATCCCACAATCAAAAGAGAACTAGTTATTGGAAAGCGGCATATGCAAATATGCATGTGACTAACGCACTTTAAAAGGCCGCACTTTTGTGCGCTCAGAGGTGCCGGGTTCACTTACTGGGCACCACCGAGTAAGTATAATACTTTGCCCGTATCCTAGAGTGCAAAAACGCGGAGGAACCAAACGTTGTTAGACTAGCTTGTCAGGATTGCATTGCACGCACCATGAATATGCGACTCCAATAAACTCTTTTCATCAATCGAGGTCATTCAGCTTGAAAAAAAAACAGCGACTAAATTGTGCCTAACCTAAGTAAAATTCTGAAGAACTTCTGGCAGCCCTGGTCACATCAACATTCAAGAAAACCAGCGATATGAAACCGAAATTTTTGAAGCTCTGCTGTGTATTCCCAGATGCCACACCAGTGAAAATAGTGAGACAAACAGCATAGGAACAGATCAGCAGGTAGCACAGTGTGTGCACAACGGCGAAGCCGAAATTTCCTCTCCATTTCCTACAATGCCAGTGAAGCATCCACGCAAGGTAACCGCAACAACACCTCAACATAACGGAGTTAAATAAAAATAAGGTCGAGCACATGCTGGAGAGGAACGCTAACTTAGCTGACCAAACTTGACACTTGGAATCAGCACTCGGCATGCTGTCTTCTTGCAATGTTGCCGATGCCACTGGGTCTGGCACGAGATCTGAGCTCACAGCACACAATGCTTCGCACTTGCCTGCAAGGCTTTCACAGTATTTTCCTAACTACTACCTCCTGTCGCACCGCAGAAGCAAGAGACAAGAAGGAGGGTGGAGACAGTTGCCTTATGTCTAGGCCACCGTGGTCTAGACTGAACATTGCCGGTACTGCATCAGCTACGCACAGGTTACAGCATTTTATTCATTTATGGTCACCCATTTTCATTTTTTTTTACGCAGTTTGGTATAGACCGCAGGTATTAAAACGAACATCGAATGAACCATTGTGCATGCCAGTATACCATGCGCTCTGCTTTCTGCTGCATTCTCTACTGCCGCCAGTATCCTCCTTCAGCATGCCCTTTCGTGGAAGCCAGTCATGCAAGGCATGCAAATATTTTACTGGGGAGTACAGCAATTGGGACAGCCTGAGAGAAACCCGCCGGCGCGCGATCTCGGAGGCCATGCCACACTAGGCGCACTTCAGCCAGTGGCCACCAGGCAGCGACTATGTTCATTCTCAGGGCCAATTCTAAGGACTGTAGTTTAGGTGAAGCCCTCAAAAAAAGGGACTTCGCACTTGCAGCCAGTTTTATTTGTGACTGCACCTCCCTTCTGAGCAAGGCACACGTGCAGTGCGTCCTTCCATAGTCTCTTCAAGCCCACATTTGCGGGCTAGCTCAGGCGGGTCGGAGAATGCAAACTACGCAATCATTTTCTTTTTTAAGTAAACCTAGTTGAACAATCAAGGTGCGCAAATCATGCGAGTAAATATGGTAGGCTGATATGAAATACTAGGTGTACATAGAGACATTCACTAGTATGTGTTGCTTGAGCACTTAGTTTTCTGACACAAACAGTAACATAAAGAATAAATAAATCCTTTAGACATTGCTACAAAACAGAAATAGTCAGAGCGTTAGGAGAAAGGCTGCGTGCATTTTAAGCTTGCACAAAGAGAAAATTTTTACCTGTAGTATAGTACTTGGACATTTGCATAAGGTCCTTATATGCTACAATGGTGAGCTCCTGAATTATATTGATCTCACAATGAATTCCTTACAGAAGCAGTACACCATCACAGAACAGGTTAATACATACACCATAGAATGCTTATGCCCACATCTGAGCATTAAACAGGAAGACATTGCAAGTACAGCACAACGTGCTTTTGGCACATGTCAAATTTAGTTCCTTAATTTTCCACAGAGCACCTTCTCCACTTTCAATCAATCACAGTGTCTGGCTCAGAGACACCTTGGTGATCGTGGAAAGATTTATTGGCATAAATACTATAGATTCTTTCATTTTTTTTTAATTTGAGACACTAACCAGAAGTCTGAACAGCTGACGTAGCTAAGCAAATAAACTGAAGGCACTACAGTTTTGCAGTATCACAGTTTAGTGATACTGTATAAAAACAATAGGCTGCGGGGATGTATAAATTTAAGGTAGTGGAAAAAAACTGTCAGTGCTCTGTGGATTTGAGCAAGAAGCTACATTCCTACGAGCATTACACCATCAAGTAAATGACCGACACAGTACCTCGAAGCAAAATTGCTTGAAGAAAATAACTAAAAAGAACTAACCTAAACAGCAATACTACGGTACTATGCAGCTTAGTAGAACTAAATGTCATCAAGGCAGCAAATGTGCAATTAACATGGGAAAATAATACAGTTAAAGAGAAAAAAGTAAAATGAAAAATTCACTGCAGTGCAAAGTACAGTTATGCAAGAGTCAAATATTTGGCTCTAAAAGGCAGTTATCTATATCTAATACACCAAGCAACAATGCTATGGAGCTTAGAAAACTAAAGTATGTCAAGGTTGGTACAAAAAATGTGCCCTGTGTGAATCCAAATAGCCAAAGCTGCCGAAGAAAAGTATAATTTTTTAAAAAAGCCACTGTAGTGCCAAGTCCACTTATATAAATACCCAATAAATATAAAAGGGCTTGTATATCCCACACTAGTGAAAATTATTTCATTTCATTCAGTGATGCTCTGAATGTAGACACATAACAGCTACATACTGGCAGGTCCTCACATGGAAGATGCCTCATGACCATCAGGCCGTCTCCACTACTTCATAAAGTAGCATAAAAGATGGGCCACTTTGCTGTCATGTGCACAAAGGAAACCTACAGAAAGATACACCAATGACCATGCTTTATTACTCTTGCATGGTATAAAGATAAGTCTTCATGTTAACCACTAAGCAGCATTGTACAGTTGAACTGTTGTAAAAAAATAATAAATTTTCCTGTAACTTATGTCACACACATAAATACAGTACAGTTTATCAAAATGACATGACAGTTAAAAACAGAGAGAAACAGAACAAAAAGAAAAACAAAGGTCCTATATGAACACTAAAACCAACACAGACACCTTAATGGTTTGCAGTATGGGAATTGCCATCTTCAACCTGTGCCAGCTCCACAATACACTGCCTTTAGGATCACTAATCAAAAGTTGTGTTTTCTCTTTCTGAATGAACTATGAGTTTGTACAAATCAGTAATAATAATAATAATAATAATGTAGATGGCCTTGCTACGTATAATTTTCGGGCACATTCCATGATTTGCCGAGAAAAGAGAAAGCAATTTTTAGCTGACCTTGATAGTTTATTGTGAATTCCAGGCCGCGTGCTGCACTATAATATTTGGCTGGCGTGTTGTCGGGAGCCTCTACTACCGATCGGCAGCGTTTTCTGACCATGCTCAAAAAGTGCTGCAGGGCCCCTTTAAGAATATGTAATGCTGCATAAGCAGCCAGAACCACCTAAAGAGCAGCACAACCACAGAGCACAGGAGGAGAGGAATGAAGACTCTTGTCGTGCACCCTGCAATCTTGTCTCTCTGTGACTTCGACAATATTTGTGAAACAGATGAAAACAGAAACGTCAGAGACAGGCCAAGCAGCCATTAAGTGCATCATACTGATGATGATGATGTCTTCAGGTGATTAGATGAGCACTCGCGCTTACTTCGAAACCATACTAAAATACGTTATAGGAAATGTTAGCCACTCATACTTCGTCAGAGGTACCTAGGTGCACATGCAGAATTATTGGGCACCACAAACATCTTGAGCTCAAAACTTTGGTGACAGCAGTCGTTCAAGTGTTGCAGGTTTTATCTGAATGAAAAATGCAGCACACTTCCTGAAGTGCCTCTTTAAGAGTCTCTTGGCTAGAAAGAGAGAATAAACATTTATTAATAACAAATGCACACTGAGTCTTCCTTGGGTGGGGCCCTCAGTCCAGGGCTCCATTGCCTTGCGCGACCATGCGAGCCCGCTAGACCAGCTGCTGCTGTTTCTGCCGGCGTAAGCTGAGCAGTGCAGACTCCCAAGAGGAAGGGGTGGGGTTGCGAATGAGAGGAACGCCCTGTGGAGAAGAGCATTCCCTCGTGGAGTGGAACACTGTCAGTGTTCCACAGAAAGGGCAGTAGGAGGGGTAGAGAGATTGATGAAAGCGATTTAGCATATAGAGGCAAGGAAATGAATTGGCCTGTAGTTGCCGCAAAGCGACAACATCTGCTCTGTTAAGTGAGGGATGAGGGGGAGGATACGTATAACGGTTCTGTCGGTAGTACTCCAGCGTAGCGTTGTAGTTTAGTGGCTCTGTCGATGCGTCATCTGGATTGGACAGCTCTTCCAATGGTGGCCGGCCAATCAGCTCTCGGGCAACTACATGAACGCGTTCATTACCATGCAGAGTGGAGTGTCCAGGAGTCCAGAGGATACACACAGGACGTAATGCAGACGGTGAGACAGAAGAGAGGATATAGTGTGTATGTGAAGCCACAAGTCCTTGAGCAAAAGCACGGCAAGCAGCCTGTGAATATGTTACAACAGTGACAGGGGAGTCATGTGACAGTGTCGTAGCGTGAACAATTGCCAGAGCGAGAGCTCCCTCCTCTGCCAAACCACTGTCTGTAGTGCGAAGTGTGGCAGACTCCACAAGGGCGTCTGTGTCGTCTATCATGGCTAAACACATGGCTTATTTCTCTGGGTAGCTTGCCGCATCAGTGTAAAGGACTTGTAAGTCTGTCGTACCATCACCAAAGACGCGTGTCATAGCCTGAACTCGGGCACGTCGACGACCGACGTGGCGGGAGGGATTCATATAGCGTGGAATCAGAGGAACTTTGATGAGTGCGCGGACAGACAGTAGAAGCAAGTTTATGTCGCGGTACCTGTGTGGGTTTTTTGGGAATCGGGTAGCCAAGACGAAACAGGATGACGAAGCCCTGACGGGTCTGCCTGAACCGTTGGAGCTGAGGGCCTCGATGAGTTCGGTTACAGTGTTGTGGACACCTAGTTAAGGAGACGTTGTGTAGATGTGTGGGGAGGCAAGCCGAGAGCTGCCTTCACAGCAGTCCGTAGAAGGATGTCCATCTTTTTTTATTTGAGCTAGCGTGAGATTGTGAAAAGGAAGATTATAGGTGAGCCGACTAACTAGGACTGCTTGTACTAAGCGGAGGTCATCCTTCTCACAGAGGCCTCTTCTTCGATTGGTGATGCCTTGGATCATGTGTGTAATTTGAGTCATCTGCTGAATCAGAAGGTGTGTAGTGTGCGAGGCCTTGCCGTCGGATGAAGAAAGAGGTCTAAAATGTGAATTCGTGGTACCAGAGGAATAGGATGGCCATCAAGAAACAGCGAAATGTCAGGAGAATCAGCGGTTTTGCGGCGCCGCTTGTATACCAATAACAACTCCGACTTTTTCACTGAGCACGTAAGGCTGCCGGCAGCAGCATAGTCTCTTGGCTAATTGTGAGAAGGGACAAGATGATTGAAAAGGCTATCGCAATAATCAAAAAGAATACAATAAATCTTACTTCAGTTTCTTTATTTTTGTAATGCTGCCATACTTTCAGAATTTACAATATGACACAGTGAAGGTGCAGAGAGAAATGTAGGAGTCAGAAATTGATTCCAACACAATACTAGAATGAGCTTAGCCTAAGAAAGGCAAATATCAACACTCACTATATCTGATTATAACATTGGTAGTTGCCCCTACCTTACTGCAAGTAGAGGCTGGCTGCAAAAACAATGTCTCGTCGGATCAGGCGAGAAGCTTCTTCCATCTTGGTGCGAAGTTCAGGATTTCCAACAATTCCTGCAGCTGTCTTGACATCTTTGAGAAGCTCATCCAAGCGCTGAATGCATCTGACTATTATGCCTTCCTGAACTTCTGTGAGCTCCATGATGTGCGCAAAGTGCTAAATTATAGGGTAGAATAAAAACAATAATTAAAGCAGCATTAGCTAAACTTGATAGATGAAAGAAAATTCAACGTTCAATTCTATCTACATGACAGAGTGCCCGAACCTAAAAAAAGTTTGACAAAGTGAGAAAAAGAGACAGAAATGAAGGGATGAAAGAGTGAAGATATCAGGCAAAGAAAAGTTGTAAAACAGTATTACCACCAAACTCCCAGTAGGAGTCCTAGCTATCGCTGATGAACCACGCTTAAGTTGAACACATCTCCTGCCAGCAAATTTCATGGCCTTACAATTCCATGAAATTCTCCAACACTTCCAACTACAGTCAAAGGGGTCTGAAAATTTGTTCGAATTAAAAAAAGTTCAAATTAATGAAAGCTAAATTAATAGAGAGCTAAATTAATGGAGGGCTCACCATGCGGTGGCGCATATGCATTGAGCTAAGACACGAGGGGGAAGTTTTAGAAGACTTATAATTATTCACAAATCACAGGGCATCTGTCAATAATTGAAGTAATCGGTAATGCGTGTCTGCACGCGTTTGCCTTGAAGTGAGTCAATCAATTTCGCACACAACTTGCAAAGCATTTCTACTTCGGCTTCAGCACTCTCCTGGCAAGAGAAGTTGTGCGAGGCAATGTCAACGCCGACACCCACTAACGACAATGACTACATAGACTGCGTCTCTGCACTACCCTCTGTGCCATAGCCGGAGCGTGGCCAGCACATGATGACAAACGAGGAGCGTCTCCTCACCGAGAGAAGCAGATGGCATTTGAGAAAGAACCAACACTCTGCGGCAGCTTTTTTTTTTTGCTCCCTTCGCGAGCGTTGTTGAAAGAAAAAGGGTCTATGTGGCAGGGACAGGAAAGGGGGAAGCGTGGCACCGGCGTGTGAGAGAAAGCCAACACTCCGCGACAGCTTTCTTTTTCCCTCTCTCTCTTCACGCACGACGTTGAAAGGAGAAAGGTCATTATGTGCCAGAAACAGAAAAGGGAAAAGCGTGGCACAGGCGCGTCACAGATTGGCATTTGAGAGAGAGCAAACATTCCGCTGCAGCCTTTTCTTTCCTTTTCTTTTCCTTCGCGCACAGCGTTGAGGTGTCGAAGGTGCCGCAGCGGGATTGGGGGTGGTGCTGAGAGCATTTTCGAAGCGCGGTATGTTCAAATTAATCGTCACAAGTTTTTGGGCGTTTGAATTACAGGGCATTTTCACCCATTGAAATACACATAGGTTTGATGGGACATCAGCATGAGTTTGAATTAACCGGAAGTTTGAATTAAGCATGTACAAAGTAATGAGTTTCGATTGTATATTTCTATTTCCTTGATACCCATTCTGTAATTTCCAACAAATAATCGGTAATCAATTTCATGCTTTACATGAGCTACCCAACTACTCTTTTTCCCTATACTAAAGTGTAGATACAAGCTTTCAGTTAGCTGAAAAATGACAGGTAACACAGCTATTCAGCAAGTTTTTGATCATTTCGCACTGTTTCATTCACAGATATCATTTCTTCTTTTTCAAAAGAACAGTAAAGAAAATAAACAAATTTTCTTGTCTTCGTAAGCTACCTTTTCACAATATGAAAAGTACCACCCTCCACCCTCGCCATGTAAAAATGCTTGGTAAGCAAGACAATGTAGATGGCCATGCCACCTTGAAGTTCTAACACAAACTTGCTTCAACATCACACAATTTTACAGCATTGACTAGGGCTTATATTTAGGACTTATATTTTATTGATGCAGTTAGCCATTAGTAGCCATGCCAGATTTTTCACTTTGAGCCTAGCATTACGAGGTGGAACAATGTCTTCATGTAAACGGAGCATAGTAGTCCATATATTGCGTGTTTAGCAGGCACGCTAAGTACACTGGCGTGTAAAGGCTAGCTCATGGTCCCTTAACAGAAGAAAAATGAGTACTTCTTTCTCTGAGAGGGCCAGAGACTTAACGCTCCAAGTTTCAGGAAATTTGTTGAACCGTTAGAACCAAAACACAGAAAAGCATGTTGAAATCCATGAAATCATGCCGACATTTATGTACAAGGATAGCGCTGCGATATTTAAACAAAAAAAAACTAAGGCCTTTAAAAAAAACAATCATAAAACTAAAGGAAAGAATTGTTGTCTCCATTTTTTGGTGACAGCTGCTGCTTTCCACTTGGTTGTTAGAATAAACAAAAATTTTAAAGTTGAAAAACAAAAGGAATAAACGAGAAATCTGACCTTCCTTTGCTCCTGTACTTAAGTACACATAGTAGTAGTGAAATCTATGACAATAATAATTTATCCATTTAAGGTGATTTAATGTTTCACCTCAATGTCCCTTTAGCCTCTTTAAATATTGCATGCTCTTGCTTTATCTCTAATTATTGGTTTTTGCTTTTTATTTGAGCAGTGTATCCAGTCTGGTTTGCTGACAAAGAAAGGTAACAAAGACGACAAAGAAGGGTAACAAAGAGAACACATACAGCACTGTACTTTCAACAAAACATTTGTTTTGCAGATTTACACCTTTTCATATATACTGAAAATCTTGACAAAAGAAAAAATTCATGTATCCACGAATTTTTCTCATATCACTAATGTATCTCAGCAATGTTGTTTAGCAACATGAACAATTTTTCCCAAAAGACTGCCGATGAACAGCTTATGCAGTTTAGAGCGGCATATGCTATTGCTGCAGCCCTGATACACTCTCTTGTGAGACTTGACTAGCTCCTAGAGACAGTCGTCCAACAATTGGTGCAGGAGGGTTCACAGTTGCACTGTGCACTACTCGACGGCTGGTGCTACCCATGATTATACCGGACTTTCACAACAAACCAGCAGATACCAAGCATTACGGGAATCAATTTTATGTGAAGCAACTAGCCACGAGTAGCCATGCCAGATTTTTCGCTTTGAGCCAAGCATTACGAGGTGAAAAAATGTCTTCATGTAAATAGAGCATAGCAGTTCACATATTGCGTGTTTAGCAGGCACACTGAGTACACTGGTGTTTAAAAGCTAGCTCATGGTCCAATGTAACATCAATACTCACGTCAGAGCAGAGACTTAAGTGTTATCGCCATGAAGTGCATGCTACTGTGCGAAAACGTGCGTATAATATGTAGCAGTTGTAGCTGGATTCGGGCTATGCTTTAGAAACCATAGATTTGTTATGTTTGTTGGAATGACATAAAAGCGGGTAGCCAACACTGCTACCACAACGAGGCGTTATTCGGACGTGATGCTTGTATAGAGTCTTCTTCTGAAGAAGTTTGAAGCACTCGCATGGCTGGTAGAAAATTGACCAGCATGCAGAATGCTTGAGTTTGATCAAGGCTCAAGCCATCATTTTCATTCTTTGTTTCGATCGTGACATTTAACCAACTACTGACATTTGATACTATAGCACTAAGAACTCCAAAGTCTGGGTCGATATACCGTAAAATTTCGAGTGACCGCCCCCAGTACGGTGAAGACTAATCCAACCATATCTGAGGGGACGCGCTTGCTCGATCCTGAACCAAAATTCAAGATGACGGAAGGAGCGCCACCAAAAATTAAAAAATTCCCATCCATTTTTCAAATGAAATGCTTCATTTACTTGCTTTTTTATTCCCCCTTATGACTTTCAAACTTATCAAACATTTTAACTTGATGGTCAAATTTAGATATTTGAACACCTTACTATTACAGGGCGGTCATACTGAACTTTTCATATCATGAAAAAGAGCCTTGAAAGCCTGCTGTTCTTTTGACAGTTTACGCATAAGAAAAAAATTTAAAGCAACTACTCCTCTAAGTTGAGCGCAAAAGTTGAGTCCATGCACTCGGCCTGCAGAGACCTACGATTTTCTGGTAGTACATCGCCAACACCAGACAGCCTGGTGTGCAGCACAAGCAGCATTCTATGAACCATTTAGTGAATTAGATATGCCACACTTAGTGAATGATATGTCAACACTTCTACCGAAACGGCTGTGGCAAGCCTGGGATACGAAGCAACAAGACATCTTGCCAGGACGGTTTTCGGAGCTTTCGGAGGGAAGGGGGGGTGGGGGGCCCTTGCTCACTCATTGGTGCTTATTCCAGATCTCCAAAAAAAGGGAGGGGGCGCCTGCTCGGCATTTTACAGTAGACTGTGAATCACCTGTCGTGCATACCAGCACACCATGGGTCAGGGTATGCGGGTATCTGACTGGTGGAAAGGATTTAATGACCTACACGACAGGGAAGACGCATTATTCATGTAATGACCTGTGAATCATGTTGATCATATATTTATGTCCTGCTTTGCCACGTTCGTATGTACAAAGCTCAGGAGATGAGCACGAGAGCGCCAAGACATAGGCGGAGCTAGCTGGGTCTTCTCTTATGCCGAAAAATAAATAAAACACAGCTATATATATAACAGTAATACTGTAAAGCCTCCTATTATGCCGACAAATAAATCAAATGCAGCTATATATAAAACAGTAATACTGTAAGGCCAAAATTAGTTACAACAACTCTCACAGGCTTCCCGTTTCTGTTATATGTAATCCCTATTTCAAAGAAAAAGACACGCGTCTGCTTTTTGAGGATAAGTTACTGAAAACTTAAACTATGTTTGCTTTGTTAAGCCATTGTAATTAAGTGATTTGTTTTAAATTTATGACTATGCATCACTCAAGCCAAGGAACATAATAATGCAGTTGCAAGGTCAACTGCTAAGATATTTTCTTTCCTTGCTATGCATGCAGCACTACCATACTTACTGTAAAGCCATGTGCACAGTATTCACTCAAAAATAGGTTGACCCCTGCATTTTCATTAAGCTTATTAAAAATAAAAAAGCAAGAAAAGCAATTATGAACATTAGCCAGCCTATATCTTTTCAGAATATTAAAAATTTCCCAAATGATGAATAGATCTTTAGTGACTGCCATCAGCTGAGACATCCACTGTGATCTCTAAACTTTTTATTAGTTTTCTTGATGTTATTTCTTCTTTTATTTACTTTGTGTGCATTTACCAAAAATATAACATGCAAAACCTATTGATTATTTATATGTAGGGTTTAACGTCTCAAAACCACCATATGATTATAAGAGACGCCGCAGTGGAGGGCTCCGAAAATTTCGGCCACCTGGGGTTCTTTAACCTGCTCACAAACCTCAGCACATGGGCCTACAACATTTTCGCCTCCATTGAAAATGCAGCTGCCACAGCCGAGATTCGATCCCGCGACCTGTGGGTCAGCAGCCTAGTACCTTAGCCACTAGACCACAGCGACGGGGCGTGTAGCAAGCTCTAACCTAAGAAAATTGCTAAGGCCAACACTGAAATGTGCTACACAAAATTGTGTAGGGGGTGTGATTGCAAGGAAAAAATTACTCATCAACCACACTTTTAATGGAAGTCAACCAGTACCCACCATGCCTCTAGCCCAGTGGTACACTACGTTGCAGAGACCAAAGCTGAACTGCTCTACAAATTGTTGAGCAGGTTCATCAAAGCCGCTTTCTCGCTGCACATGACCAATCTTGCAAGCCACCTCCACGAATTTTTCCACTGCCTGAAACAAGGAAAAACCGCACATTGCATGCTCAAAAAGCAGATAAAACAGTGCCAATATTCAATTATCATTAGACTATGAATGAATGAATGAATTAATGAACTTTATTTAAAGTCCGGCAGTTTTCACTGGGCAAGGTAGGGGAAGAGGGGATGAACCCCTGTCCCTTTCCATTCTCCGTCGATTATGATGGTGGTGCCTCAGGTGACCGCTCGAAGTAACAATGAAAATTATTTTAGCAGTGTAACACTGATGTTAAAGACTACTTTATAGATGTGTTTCAGTGCCGCCAAATGGGCTGGTAACCATGCTTTATTCATTCACTAAATGAACAGTGCTACGGTGGATGTATACTCATGAAAGCGGTCGGGTCGGTGCATTCAACATTTCGGTACGTTATCTATTCACACCACAATATAGTACAAAATAAGAAAACAGCCCAAGGTGGAGGCTCCCATGTGCCTTAGAGAAAATCATCTGTGAACTCGCGCGCGCGTGCGTGCGTGTGTGCGTGTGTGTGTGTGTGTGTGTGTGTGTGTGTGTGTGTGTGTGTGTGTGTGTGTGTGTGTGTGTGTGTGTGTGTTTTAGATGTGAAAGCAGAGAAAAATGGGCTGCAATACAAGTGGTTAACCCAATATCATTAAGTTGATATTAAATAACATAAAAATGAAGCAAAATAAATAATCAAAGGCTTTATGAGCATGCACAATTACCAGTGTACAAAGAATGTCTACAAAAAAAATTGAGAATATATAGGGTATCCAGTACTTTTGACATGGATAAAGCCTACATAAACTTTTTTTATGCACATCAAGATGGAATGACTATGAGACATGTCCCGTAACATCACAATATGATGGAGAAAAGAATATCAGCTACAAACAGTTTGTTAGGTTTAGAAAATCACATGTTAGAAAATCACAAAGAGTACTCATTGCATGTCTCTGGTTGTCAGAGTGCATTCACAGTCCAGTTGTTTTGCTCAGAGTAACATGTTATCTATCGAGTAAGCTCATATGATCATGGTGTTGAATATGCTGCTCTTTGTGTTGAGGACACTATGATGCATTGTAATTATCAGTATTTGCACAGTGAAAACATTTTTCACTCGATGGAGCAGTGAAAGTGAGGAGTACCTAATTGTAAGCTCGGCTCTATGGTCATGCACAGCCAGTGAGCCTTATTAAAATGTGGCACGCAACTGCCATGCCATCTATTATATAAGTTAGGCTTATCAGTAAGTTACACAGTCATTTAAACTGCGAGAGGTCATTTCATAAGCCAGAAAACACAGACTAAAAATGTTGTGTAATAGAGCGTTAAAGCTCTCATACCAGCTTGCTGTTACATCATGAAATGTCTATCAGTACAGAAGTATTACAGTGAATTTAAAGAGAACCAAATACTAACTAAGCAAACTTGTAGATTTCCAGGTTAAAAATGGCTTAAGATAGGATCAAGTAAGATCACATTTTAAAAAACTCATCATATCATAATGACATACCAGTGCTCAGATATCAGTGAGAAATAAAGAAGAGGTATGTCAGGCTTTCACTTTCCTCGGTATTAACAAACGTTCTCCTGCGAAATAAGTAAAAATGAGTAGTTTTAAAGAGACTGACAAGCATACTATGGTAACAATTTTCTTAAACACGGCATAAAGCTTACTGCTCAGATTGTCTGTTTTGCTGTTGTTTTCCTTTTACTAGAGCTGTGCGAATAGCGAAATTTTGGGTAGAAATTGCAGAGGGAGCGAATTGAATCGAATATTTTTCCAATAGTTGTGAAATATTTGTTTCATAGTTTTCAAATACTTCGATGTGAAATTACAAAAAAAAAGTTGCAGAGGATACCTAAGCACATTCTAAAAAGAAAGGAACATGGGGGTGTTTCATTTTGCTAGGTTGGTGAAGTTTTGTTTTTCAAAGGAAGCGTCTTCAAGAACACACGAATTAGATATTATCACTTTGCTTCCTCTTAATGCCTTGATTTGTGATCCATGAATACTGACGATTGTCTAGTCTTGCTCACACAAGACTCATAGAGCAACACTGAAATGATTTGCTTGAGCGAGTGTTTGTGCTTCAAAATGTTGTTTGTTGTATGCCTTTTTCTATAGCACAGTTGCTCTGCAAAGTCTTCAGTTTCTGAATTAGTATCAGCATAGCAAGGCAAGAGATTACTCCTTGGCCTGCCAAACAACAGTTCATACGACAATCTTCCTGTTGTGAGGAGTTTTGAAGATCTGCATGACATGAATAAAGAGTCAAGATCTACTTTCCAATCTGCTGACTTGTGTGAACATGCTTTTTCAAAGTTCTAATGAATCACTCAGCTTCCCCATTGGCTTTAGGCCAGAAAGGTGTGATCCAATTGTGCCAAAATTCCAACTCTTTTGAGAATGTGGCAAACTTGCTGCCTTGAAATGGTGGTTCATTGTCACTCTACCAGTGCAGGGATTCTAAACTGGTAAAATATCTGCCACAGGCTAGGAAGCACATTTCTTGAACTTGTGGAGTGTACAACTTTTGCCAATGTGTATCATTGGAAGTCATCTATCACCACTATAGCGTATTTTCCATTTAGAGAGGGAGCACAAAAGTCAACTGACATTTCCTCCCAAGGGACGCTAGGTGGCTTTGCGATGATTAATTAGTGGTTCTTGCTTTGTTTGGGGAACAGCTGCTAAACATGGTATGTAGCCTTTAATCACAGTGTGCATGAGAGATTGTCTATGCAAGAAAACCCCACCTTTTTTTTAACATTTGTTTGGTTTTGACAATTTCTTGGTAACTTGTTGGCAAGCATCACTGCTTTCTTTTGTAATGTAGTGGGAAGAACTAAGCGTGTCCCACGAAGAACAATGCCCTCAGGCATCATAGTTACGTTTTTATGAATGCAAAAGACTTCAGTTCAGCTGAGATCTAACTGTTGGGTATGGGGTGCTGTATGGCATTGATCAGTTACTGTGGCCAATGATCTGCTTTAGTTGCATCAGCAACCTCTTGAGCTGAAAAGGGCTTCAGAGTGCTGTATCGCTGGATGAAGTTTATGTACTGATCTGGTACCTGCAGGACAATGTGGGTAACACACTGTTGTCTCAGGAACCGGATGCCTGGAAAGATAATCTGAAGGGTTGCTAGCCAGCGATCCACGAAAATCCGGTAAACATTCAAATTATAGCCAAACGTCCACGTCTGGAGCCGGTTATACGTCGGTCCACGCCCGGTGCCGGAGCCAGTCAAGGACAATCTGGGGCTATTGCATTTCGATTGTTCTTTATATTCGTTTAGTTTTCTGTCTGGAACATCCAAAGGATATCTACAAAGGATTTCATGTGAACGCGATAATTTGGACATCAGATGGACACCCACGAGACATCCCAAAAAGCAAAACCTTAAAGACTTTTTGAAACAGCTACAAACAGTTAGATATGTCTTGGTCTAAGAGAAGACCTAAAACAGACATTTTCAAAAGGGAAGAGTAACGCCTTAAATGTGCTCGCTTGCAGTTTATTTATATTTTTTAACAACTTCAACATAGCCTGATCTGCAAAACAAGTTCATAATGTGTACTTCAAGACATTGTTTAGGCACTATAGAGAGCCAGATTTCAACGTCCACATCAAAAATGCCAAAATGTCATGTCAAAAAAGCATTGACCGTCAGTTTTACTAACAAATGACACAATTACTAAGAACCTCTCCAAAATAATTGACCTGACACTGCAAGCAAGTTCCCACTTTTTTAACCTGAACATGTGAGCACCAACCGCCAAGTCATTAATTCACTATTCATAGTCTCCCGTTGTCACTATCCAAGAACAGCCGATGAGACCACAGCTGAAGAATGTTAACAGCCTGCATGCATGTATTGTCGTTGTATAAGTTCGCCACTGTGCTCAGTTAATAGGGCTTTCATAGACTGGGCGGTCAACGCTAGCGCGCGTTCAGGTTAAAAAAATGGATTGCTGTACGTGCATATGGCATATTCTTTTCAAGACAAAGCACTTGTATAATGATGTTTGCAGCAACAAGATAGCGCAACTGCGACTGATACAATAATGGGTGTGACACATGAGAAAAACGCAGGAGGTGCTCACTGGCGCGCACGCCAGCTCGCACCAGCTTCGGGCGATCCGTGGCTTCGGATTAAGCGGTGGCGCAGTACAATGTCACGCATGTTGGAACTTGCACGACCGTGTTTTTTATTCAGCGGCTGTGAAACTTGTCCTCCCACCGCAATGATGTGCGGTGGCTCGATTGGTAGGCCGGCAGTCATCCCCTGGCATGTTCAGCTTTCCTGTACGGCTTACTGCAGCTGTTATTCGGAGTCAAGTAACAGTCCACATTCTGTTTTTGCCATATTTTGCATCAGTGTTTCATGAAACAAGTTCTACTGTGTGTTTTTGTCGATGCTTTCTTTCAATTCAATAGGTGGATCTGCTTGCCACCTTCGTTGCCGACATATGATGCATCTGATACGTCACCCGTTTGGATAACATACTTCTTTAGGCAAGTACAATTAAGTGCCCCAGGTTTTTATCGTTTCATTACTGAAACATTTTGAAATTGTAATTAAAACGGTAAGTATGACAGTTGTTTGCTGGCAGTTAAATCTTGGTCAAATGCGTAGCTATAAAACACATGCCGGTGCGAATCGTAAGCTAGACTGACTCGACCTATTTTGAATAATGTTGTTCTTCTGCGGGTTACAGCTCACGTTTGTGGGCATGTGCGTGACAGCGACAAGCCGACATACTTGTAGGCAAGCATGCTTACAACTATCCCGGCCAGTCGCCGACGAAGTGCAACATTTCTACCGTATATATACATGTCGCGTCTGGGTGCAGTTATAATTGATTGTTATTTATAAAAACATGACAGAATTTTATCAGATCTGTAATTGGAAATCTGTCTTATGCTTTCGAACATACTTACTTCTTCTTGTATGCAGTTTTTATTCACTGCTGTTTGTGCAAGACATTGGGCCTGAGACCACGCCTGCTAATGCGACCGCCAGTACACTTTCCTTGACGCTACCCGGAGTACATCATATGGTCGATGATTGATTGATTGATTTGTGGGGTTTAACCACCATTTGATTATGAGAGACGCCGTAGTGGAGGGCTCCGGAAGTTTTGACCACCTGGGGTTCTTTAACGTGCACCGAAATCTGAGTACATGGGCCTACAACATTTTCGCCTCCATCGGAAACGGAGCCGCCACAGCCGGGATTTGATCCTGCAACGTGCAGGTCAGCAGCCGAGTACCTTAGCCACTAGACCACAGTGGCGGGGCTACATCATATGGTCGTCATTGTTCATGAAATTGCATGTGAAAGCTTATATTGTTTTCGAAAGTCATTTAAAGTTTTTAATATAGTAAATATAGATTTCTACACTCAGTACTATCTGCCACATTCTTATTTGCTTGATATCTCCGTTGCAGCATACTACGTTGCCAGAAAAGCCAGTCAAGTTGATGCTACCGAAGCATTAAACCTGGCTGGGGCACAGGTAGAATTTTTTTTCGGGAGGAAGGGGGTAGTCATTTTGCACTGTCTATGCCATGGCGAAAAAATATTTCAAGGAGGCACGGGCCAAGTGTGTCAACTCCTGGCTACGCTTCTGTACCAAGGAGGAGTATGTTCATTAAAGGCTCAATCTTATTTGGGTGCTATAATAGAACGTTCGATCGCTCTTGTCATCCGCAATAAATTGAGGCTTGCGTAAACGCAGTGCGTACGCCGCACCCTCCACCAGTCGCGTGGACGAATCTTGTGTTAGAGAATTTTAGTGCCGCTACACTTCCTAATTGTCTGCGTGCGCACGCTGTTGTTTTTTTGTACTCACTGCTCCACCTTTAGAAAATACAAAGGAACACAAGAGCTTAGGTACGTAGGCCGCTTCAGGTCCCAGCACTAAAACTCTCCATTGTGAAGCCTCATATAAGGCAGCGCATAAATGATGAACGTCCGATCATTTCAGCGAAATTCCCAGATACATCCAATGTACGTACTGAAAGGGCTAACTACAGATCCATCCTGTGTCTGAATATACGGTTTTTGTCACCCATTGGACGTTCGACGGATTAGCAATTTTTTGCGCATAAGGATCCTACAGACGACCGTAGTGCAGCTGGCGGATTTCTGAAGATCTCCATCGGACATAAGTATGTCCAAAACTGGAACCGGTGGATATTGTTGCGACTCGCCCTTGCGGCACCGGAGACCCGGGATGAAGACACCGAGGCAGGAAAAAAGGAAACTTGAAGAGAGTTTATTTACATGGTATACATTTTGAGAGCCCTTGTGGCACCGGACATCTGGTATGAAGACGCCGAAGCAGGAGGAAGGAAGACTTGAAGAGAGTTTATTTACATGGTATACCTTTCGAGGGCTTCCTCAAAGGTGCTTGGAGGCTCATTCTATAGAGTACTTTCTCCCCACACTCCTATATCGGGAAATGGGTCCAGATCGCGCTGTCCAATAACAGGTCCTACAGTCTTTCCTAGCGTAATCATGCCGGCACCGCCCTCAACATACACACATACACAACAAAAACACGTATATGGTCCCAGCAATACTGCCTCCTCCGGCAAAGCTTGCTTCTAGCGAGCGGGGTGCTCGGGTTGACCACCCATGCTTTGTCGGACGGCGGTCATGGGCTCAGTGTCTCCGAGGGCCAATGCCTAGACATCTGGTGTTGATTTGAGCATCGGCGGCCCATCAGTCAGAGACGCACAGCGCGGTGGTCCAACTTTCGTCTTCGGCGGAAATGTGGTGTTGTGGCCTTGCCTCCCAGTAGATGAAAGCCAGCCGGGCGTCTTCACGCTCCTTCTTATCTTCACAAAGCGAAGTGGCTGCTTTTCTATGATCCCGGCGCCCGCGTAAAGGGGGAGGGCTCGTCGAACGCTACAATGTCCACCGGATTCTTGTGGCCTATTGGGTACTTCCTGCAGTGTGTTGTACCTTAAACATGTACTATTGAATGCATAAAGTAAGGCACTCAATGAGGACAGATGATGATGATCGTGGATTTCCCAATACGCTGACTAAATACTTGTGGTCCGTCAGCGAGAAGATGTTGACACCACAAAGATATAGACAGAAGCGTTCTAATGCCTATACAGCCGCAAACACCTCATGATTCCTTTAGAAATAGTGGCTTTCATTGGGAGTGGGTGCTATAGCCGATTAAGCTATAACTCTAATATGTCCCCATCATGGTGTGCGAGTATGGTATCCAGTCCATGTGGACTTGCGTCTATCACCAGTTCTTTATGTAGGCTTGGATGGGTCAAAGTAGGCAAGTGTGAAGGCATCAGACATGACTTGCTTTAGGCTTTCTAGAGTATTTTGCAGTTATTTTGTCCACTCCCATGCACCATCCTTCAATGTGAGTTCACGCAGAGCCTGTGCAAGGTCGGCAAGGTTTCTCGAAAATCTGCCAGAATACAGTTGATCTTTCCCAGCAGACTCTTCACTTCTTGTGGTGCCTTCAGCATTTTAATTTGTAGGAATGCTGCTATTTTTGGGGGATCAGGACAAATTCCATCAGCTGAAAAAGTAAGTCCAGAATAACTCGACGATAATCAAAGTCACACTTCTTTTCATTAAGTGTCCATCCAACTTCTTAGAGTCTCTACAGGACAGCTTTTAGGGAAGTGTCGTGTTCCTGTTTTGTTTGCCTCGTCACAAGCATCGTCACAAACATCGTCACAAGCATTGAGAACATTCAGAATACCTTTGAGTACTTGACGAATAGTGCTTTGAAAAATTTGAGCTGCACTGCTGATGCCTAAATTTAGGCATTTGTATCGAAAGAAGCCATTATGTGCTGAAAATGTCGTGAGCTGCCTAGAGAGTGCATTGAGTTCCAGCTGATGATTTCCTTTCTTCAAGCCAAGATTTGAGAATTCTGTTACTCTATTTAAAGCAACAATCATGTCATCCACTGTCAGGCATCAATGTCGCTCCTGTTGGATAGCAGTATTGATAATACACACGTCAATACAGATTCCAATTTCAACAGGCTGATGCAGTTTAAGTGCATTTACCACAAGGGACACCCAAGGTTTAGGTCCGATGGCTGGCTCAATGATGTCTTCTAACAGGAGGCATTCAAGTTCCTTTTTTGCGGCATGGCATTAGGTAAACAGGATACACCTGTGTGATTGTGCAACAGGTGTGACAGTTTCATCCATAAAAAAAGTGGATGTCGTGGTTTTTTATCTTTCCAACTGTACCAAATAACTTGAGGAATGCTTCCACGACTGACTTGTCATTTGGTTGCGGATGAACTTGGTATGTGATCTGGACAAGTCCCAAGTTGAGTACCACTGTGAAGCTTAAAAGTTCATTGTAGAATATTTTACAGCGCTACGGGTTAGAGACGTACAGAAAAGAAACACAGTGCTGACTTACAACTGAAATTTATTTGAAAAAGGAAAGAACGTATATAGGAAACAATGACTCATCAAAAACTGTGCACATGTGCACATGTGTTACAACACAACATGATTCATGGCTTGTCCAACAAGTAGTTATATTCTTCATCTTGAAGAGTGATAGATGGATGATGTATGTGCTTGTTAATGGATCTAATTAAAAATGTTTCGGCTACCTGACGCGTGTGCTGGTCAACATGTTTATATTTGATAGTTGTTTTCTGTAGCTCTGTCCGTCTCTAACCTGTTGCCCTGTAAAATATTCTATAATGAACATCCATCAACTTGCCCAACTTGCGATTATGCTGAAGCTCAAGAGTGCAGCACAGTTTTAACAAATGACAAAGATGTCTTCTTCAATGCACTTGTCTTTGTATTTCATAGTGACAGCAACTTGGCCTAGAAGTTCTAATGGGAATGTTCCTTAGTACGAAAATACTCTGATAAATGTTGCCTGGAGATTCACATTAAGGCAGTAGCTTTTAAAGTAACTTTCACCAACAATGGACACATTTGCACGTGTGTTGACTTAAAAGTGACTGGCTGACTGGCACACTGTTGATGGTAACAAAGGCTATTAGAGATGAGCTTGCTTGAGGAAAAGTCATAGCAACGAAAGCATACTTGTCACTGCTTGAACCCGACTCAAAAGAAGGCAAAGTGCTCTTTAGTGCTTGAGCACTTCTTACTGTAAACTGCCTGTGAGTTCCTGTTTGGAACACTGTCACAGTACACTGCTTGTACATAATTTAACTGCACGACAAAATCGTGCAATGTGGCCGACCTAGTTACATGCATTGCACCTCTTGCCCAAGAAGGACAACTTGAAAAAGTGGCCTTATCGCCCACCTTGATAAGGCCTCTTGCAGCCATCGTGACATTCTGCTGATGAGACACAGATTGTTGAGGTTTATGGGTTGTTCGTGGCAACTTTCGTCAGTGTCTTTAGTGAGTGCTGTGTTGATCATCTTTATGCACTGTGAGCGCCACTGCATTACCATCATTTTTTTCAGTTTCAGATGCATGCTGTTCGACGTCCTCAAAAATTCTTCCTTGCTTAAGTCTGGCAAAGTGAGGGAATGAAGCATTGCATATTTATGAAGGCAAGAAGGTATTGTGTGTGTATGCATGTGTGATGCAACTGCTTGCATAAGAACACACCTGGAACACAATTAGTAGTACCACTACGTTCAAACTTGAAGCTCCTCTGCTGACAAAATACACAGTAATCACACAGTAGTTACTAGTATAAATCACATAACTGAGAGTTCAATCAAAAAAATTCTCACAATCTAGCCCATGCATTCAGACGTTACATAAAACTGGTGCACCTGACTATGAATCATGTATAGCCTAGTCACTACTACTCACTGTTTTTATGAATAGTGGGATGCACTTGACTATCAAGCATGTCTAGGCTAGTCACCACATACTCACTGCCTTCATGGAGAGTGGAATGACGACCTCGTCCTTGCAGCGATGCTCATAGACGAAACAGGAGAACAGACCAGCCACTTCAGCTGCACCAAGGGTGAGCAGCGACTCCTGAAGTAGTAGCTCTGTGAGCATTACTTCATGGCTGGACAGAGAGCGTGCCACACGGCCCTTGAGTGTCAGCGTACCACTTGGCTCTACGTATCCCAGTTTCTCCAGAGCCAAAACATGGCTTCGGTAGTCAGGCATGGAGGCAAGGCTTTCCTCTGAGAGCTGGTGCTGCAGCTTCCGCAGCTCTTCCGACAGTCGCCGCCGCTTCTGTTCCTGTTCAAACTGGCCACGTAGGCATCACCTGTATAGTGCTACTCCCAAATGGCAACACTCACACACACTTGTTATTAAATGTTTTTAATGTGCAAAGCTGTGGTTAAAAAGGGCTATACAAAGTAGCTATGAGCATACAGTTAAGGTTTAACAATCAAGACATACTACGATACTGCCTTTCCTCATGTGCATCCTTTAAAAGAACCCTGCAACAGTTTTGGAACACTGTACAGTAATAAACAATATTGGCCATAATACAATGCTATTGTGAGTGAAAAGATTAATGTGAACTAAGAGGCTTGAATCTTTGGGTGACAACTGCTACATTTTCTTGCATGTGTCTAGGATCCTTGGTACTCACAGCATAAAAAAAAAAAGCATAAGTTTAAAATGAATTGCCTTCTCAAGAGTGTTTAATTCAACTTTTTCTTCTACTCTTTATTTCATAATGGCTGTACATCTGCTCTGTGATAAAAAGTTTTTTTTTTTTAGTCATTGTGTCCTCTTCACTAATAATGTCCTTGAAAACATAACGCATGCAATAATGTTCCCAAGGCACGTACAGTGCTCGTCGATTTAGACAACAATTTAAGGTACGTCCTTCCATTTCCACCATCTTAAAACTTTGGTCATGCCGGCATAATTTCAAGCCAACATTATCTTTAGCAATCAGATTTGTAGAGACGTAATGTGGTTATTCCAAGCAATTCCACATACCAGCTGTGATGTCACAATTCAATCAGTGAACACTGCACACTGTGCTCTTTTGGCTGGCTGGGTTGCAAAATGTGGTTTGTGTAGTGCTATAGTGGACACTCACTCAGATAGAGCTTGAGGTAGGGAGCTCGAGTATGCTGAGACTAGCAATGTGCCTTTTAAGTAAATTACAGTATTAAACGAAACCTGAAGGAGCTAGGAAAATGTGTTTCCTTTACGAGGGGTTTCGTTACTGAAAGATAAACAGGGGTATAATATTCAAGTACAAAACCAAACATATTAGGGGTAGTTGTTCCATTTAGGCAGCAATTTCATTTAAGAGAGTTTCATTTAATAGGAGTCTACTGTAATTGATTGATTGATTGATATGTGGGGTTTAATGTCCCAAAACCACTACATGATTATGAGAGACGCCGTAGTGGAGGGCTCCGGAAAAGAGTCTACTGTAATTACTTAAAGCAACTCCCTGTCCCTGATTACGAAATCTGATCCATGCATCCAACTTTGAAGATGATGCCAACTATGGTTTCCAGTAAGGTGACATTTTTTTGCACCTTTCAACCCTTGTGCACTGACCTTGCACTTCCACCCCTTTATTCCTTTCAACTTTGCATAATGATGCAGTCAGGACGGGCACATGCCACACTAAAAGGTGCTATGTGAGCACGCATGAACTGGCTGGTGCATTACAGAATTGTCACTCTTTGGCCACATTCAGTAGCTATACTCTTGTTTCACCACTTTGGTTCAGCACTACCAAAGAAACGGGGTGCACGAAAGCCATACGCTTGCGCAGTGAAACGTAGTCCTACATACAAGTGCTTTAAAATTAACAGGTTTGGCTATAATTGGCATTTCTTTGGTGTTTTATGCCACGTTAATACATGATATGTTGATACATGATATGACCGAGTTGACTGGCGGAACATGGGAGAGGCCTTTGTTTCACAGTGGACGTAGTCAGAATGATAATGATACATGATATGTTTATTCTTCTTCGCTTTTGTTTCTTATACATTTAATTATTTGTGTCGGTTACAGACGACAACTTTGGTTACAATTCAACATGGCAGCACCTATGCAGAAGTGACTGCCCACTTCGATTCAGACTTGCTTTTGCTACACGCCCATTATGCTGACAGCAGTAAACAAATGGTGAAATCAGTTATCGATTTGCTTTATCTCCCTCTGGGACTAACGCATCAGGTACGTTTTTTCAAAATTAGCGAGATATGCTGCTTGCTTCGCCACACCTGCTAAGCTTAATGTGCTGAGGCAGTGTTTAGACTGTGTCGTCAGACCAAAAACGCTGCATCTCCAAGTATCGAACATGCAGCCTCGCACAGCATTCCATGCGCGTTGATCCTCCTTAGTTGGAAACAAAAGAGAGAAAAGGAGCATTACAGCGGGAGACACGAAAGAATGTGTCGATAGAGAATAAGACGAGAGCCACAAATAGCGTCAGAAAGAAACAGCCACAGAGCCAAGTTATCCGCCGGCATGAGAATACAGCAATCTTCAGCAGAGCAACAAGCTCATGCTTCTTTAAGTACCCGGTGTAATTGCTTGTTTAGTAGCTTTACTGAAATTTAAAGTTAATAAACTAGCCATAATAACTACAATTTGTTGAGCAGACATTGTGAATACAGTAAGCAGACGACACGGCACAAATGAATACATGTGGAGGGGCTAAACACCCTTCCTATAGGCTGAGGGGCCTGTAGCCTCTACAGTCCTGAAGGGAACTTATTAAACAGAGTATAAATTCATATGTATATATGGGTTATATATATATATGTAGCATGGTACTATGGGTGCGTGGCCTCATGTTTATCTGGAAACAGCCAACTAAGTTTAGGTGTAAATTTGAATGTCTCTACTAACCAGGAGAAATGTTTTTCGGAGCAGAAAACCTGCCGTAGAGAATGCCAGCAATTTCGCAGGAACGGCTCCTAAGGTATGGTGCCTCTCATAGCAGAAGGAAATGCTTGGATTGCAAACATAAAAAGCTGTTCCCTCTGTACATTAAATCTCTCAACCTTATCATTGTCAATCAAAATCCGCAAAAGCTTGCCTGTCAGAGGTGCTGTGCTCAAGAAGTGTGCGAAAAATGAAGGTGAATATGGAGGATGCATCGTAATACTCGTCAGATGGCAGTGTCACACTTTCATTTACCCATAAACAATTGCCATTGATCGCGGTTAAGCTAGGGTCTGAAGGTTTCATGCCCAAGCACACTGAAGCATGCAACTTTAGTGTTATGAGTACAGTAACATAACACCCCAGCTTCATTGTGCATTTGCTCTTAAGAAATCCATGTTCAACTCTCTCAGGTGTTTACAATTCCTTCTGCTCCAGACAGCAGTATCCTCGTAATTATTACTGACTCTAAAGAATAGGACTCTTTGTCTACAATATGCAATGACTTTGTCAGCTAAAACTGGAAATTTCAAAAAACAATTCAGCACTAATAAAAAGATATATTGTTTCTTTGAGTGAGCCTAGTTGAGGCTTGCCCCTGCATGATCTGCATATGTGCAAAAATCTCTACATAACCGTGCATGAAGACAACAAAGAAAAACATTAAGTCAACATGCATTCCTAAAATAGAACTCCCGAAAACCTCAAAGCACTTCCTTTATGATAAAAAAATGGTTCATGGAAGTGGCTATCCTTTTTCAATGGTCTACGTATGCCCAAAGCAATTTAAATAATTTTCCCCCGAGTTAGGACCCATGATTTCATTCACTACCTCTGCCACTGAACACCTGACAGGTGGCATTACGGTTTTCTGCCTTTTAAGATACAAAACCATGGCCAGAAAGCAAACTGACGACATCACAGCAATGCAGCACTTTCTCTTACTTGTAGTTAGACTGTGCTGCAATCGAGCTAAGCCAGCAAATCACCACACATTAACACTACCACTGATATGCAAGTATGCGAGCTAAAATGTGCATGCCAAGTTTATTTACCACCTCATCACTGGCATCAATATTAATAGATAGTGTCTTAAGTATATAGCAGCCACGACATGTTTCTCACTCCCGCTAATGAATTAGATTATTGTTGCACTCAAAAGCTTAGCTCTTGAGATTAGTGGTTCTTACTCAGAGGATGTCACTCACTAATAAGTTTGTGCACTACATAATGTCAAAAAGACTGTTTCTACTAAAAACGCAGAACAATAATTTTACTCTGTTTTCCAATGTGCTACAATGACTTTTATTATGAGTTGTTCAGTAATAGTGACGCAATTATGCTGAGGAAAAGCTACATCATGGGGTTGCCATAAAATGTCCCATTGGAGCTGTAAGTTGTGCACAACATTTACCATACCTTGACTATTATAGTGCTGTTGTCGATAATATTGATATTTCAGACATTCTCAAGCATTATTCTGTCAGCATAACCTAAATTCTGATTTGCCTTTAATATCCCTTCAACCTTTTACTGTCTAGTGTCGCGATTTCCCGACATAGTGAAAAACTTCGAGCAAGCAAGTCACGAAATGCATGCTACTCTTAATGCCAACTGTCAAGTTCTCACAGGGAACGTAGCTTTCCGCATGAAAAGTCTAGCACTATCTTGTCTTAGGTATTTTATGCTAGAACCAATTGTTTTGTAGCTGATGGCAGAGAGTGCGAAGCGTGTGCAAGAGCTCTCACTTCTTGGTTCTTTCTAGCTTGGGTAAAGTAACTTCTATATTCAATAATTTTGTATACTTGGTGTGTACACACCAAAGAGATAGCACATGACATGTTACGTATACTAGTTCTGAAGTACACTTTTTGTTGCAAAGTCCTCGTTTCTGTAGCATATTGAAAATTCGCAACATACCTAAAGGTATGCATCAAAGTTACATTTCAGATAATTTAATTGTGAAATCCCTTAAAGGATACTATTTAATGCTAGAAAATGAAAATATTTTCATTTTGTTCAGCGGTATTATAATTCAGGCATTAAAGGGTTAAGCATGACAGAGGAAGAGAAAAAGGAAGGGGAAAGGCAGGGAGGTTCATGAAGCACATGGGGAGGAAAAATGAGAGAATAACTTTTTTGCTAACTGCGTCTACATTTGTGGGCATGACTTCTGAAGAAAATTACACAACAGAACTGCAGTGTCACTGAAAACTCGCCTTCATTACCCATACTCCAAGAGTAGGCTGCAGGAGTCAACTTTAGCAGCAGGTGCGCAAACAAAAACAGTGGCAAGCAGCTAGCAGAGCATACAGCTTCTTAGACCTAACTGCTTAAATTTTTGCAATCAATATTGTTTATGCATACAAATTAGTGTGAATAATATACATACCATTGGTCATTGGAAATCAATTTAAAAATATTTAAAGCACTGGAAATCAGAATTCACACTTATCGCGGGTGTTTTAGCCATGTTTGCAACTAATTTCCCTGTTTGTAGATGTCCATTTATGCCCACTGAAAATGAAATTTTTGTCACTATGTCTTTCCTTAGCACTTGTGTAACCATTTAACTAAAGTTTACAAACTTCACATCTTTTACTTGTCTACGTTGCTAATGCAGATGCTAACAGATTTGAAAAAAACAAAACAAAGATGACTAAAATTTATTTGAGTTCACTGATACAGCCATCCTCATTGTGATGCTTAGTACATTAATATAAACACAAAAATTCCGAACCTCATGGGTAGATGAACTGGCTGCAAATAAAAAAGCTTTGGATATACCGAAAAGAGTGCAGAGCTATAAGTTCTCTTATGTACTCTGCAACAAAGTTACATATGGTGGCATGGCTACAACTTCACACACTGTCTCCACCTAGAAGTCTAACGATTAACTGCTAGAGCTCCTAGTGCCCTGTGCCAAAATCTACTGACTTCCTTTATTGTGCTACAATAGAGACACTAAAAGCTTTTCAATAGTAAGCCGAGACTGCTTGTAAAAAGTTATTAACTATTGCAGTTTTTTATAGCATATAAGTTTTTTTAGCAAATTACTGCTTACAAGCAATTATTTGTGTTTAGGTAGACCTGGTTATAATCAAGGAGTACACTAAGTCTCCCAAAGAACAGATGCCTAGCATTAACACTTACATGACTCTCAAATAATGGGCAACTAAGGCACTGGCTCTGAAGCAGCTTTTTTTCCAGCTGCTGGCTTTGATTCACCAATTCCACGGTTTCCATAGCTGAAAGACGAAGCTCTTTAACCACATTGATGACTGGCAGACCTCCAGGATGAGCCTCCACTAATTCAAGTAGCTCCTGTCCCAAAACGTTTCTGCATCGAGGCAGCCTGTAAAGAAATGTCACAGTGTAAGTCAACAATAGACAAAAAGCATGGCAGTATTGAATGACAAGATGATGTACGCCCACAGAGTATGGGTGCTGCCGAACAAATCAGTGAATCAATGAGTGATTATTCAATGTAAGCTCTTTTCTTTTTTGAGCAGACAAGAAAGAATTTCTATATGTGCTCACAACGTGGGCACCTATGCACAGAGGTACTGACCGCTAGAACAGTGGGTCTCATTTTTGTGCCCGCTATATCCACCTACATAAGAAGCCCATTATATGCCCACTACTAGCATACTGCTCACTTACAGCACAACTAGTCCAATTTCGTGCAGCCGTAGTGGCAGCATAACATACTTGCCATGATGTTCACATATTTAAGCCAGACATTTATGGCAAGCTATGTACCTTGAGCTGTAAGTATGCTACTACTATCTATATAGCTTATAGGATGCTGCAAGAAGAAGATATCTTACTCTGATATAGGAATGCACTATGCACATTGAACTATAGCTCAATAGTATATGTAAACGATGAGATCGGTCCCATCTGCAGCAGCCACATTCATCATATACCAGGAATGATACAACTGTGAGCCACCTCTTCCACACCCTTTGCATGAAGATAGCTGGGCCCAAGAGAAAGAAAAAGAGAAACATGGGACAAGAGGCTTTCCATAGACAGAATATTTGATGTTGGATGATCCTACAGCAGCAATGATTCTAAACGCAATCTGCATGCATGATTCAATGGCAAAACCAAGACCACAAGAGTAATCAATCATAAAATCCCATTTGCAGTTCATTTCCTTAGTAAAAAATAGTTTAATTTGAACCATGCTAACAGTAGTGGCTAACCAGTACCTGAACTGAAAACTACACCAAATCAAAGCTTTAACTGGCACTGAATTAGAAATTAAAAAGCTAGCTGCCTGAATCTAGGACAAGCATAAGCTTAAAAAGAAAGATGAGAAAAAAAATAATGATTACCTGTTCCACACAAAACCTTTGAAAAATATTAGGCCGACGTAGGCACTCGACAGTTAAGTGTAGTGATCCCTAAGCAGAACTACTGTAGTTCCTAATCATATCTCTTCCTGACCCCCCTATACGATAAGATAACTCACAAATAGCACTCATGCATGTGAGAATTGTGACAACAATGCGTATTTCCCAGTGAACACAGGTCACTTCTATGGAAAAGCTTGCACATGGAACTTTGTTGCACAGCATAAAATTACTGTGCTGAACCCAGTGGTTCAGCTTCTATGTCTGCAGGTGAGCTCATTGTTTCATGGTTTTATCTACAGAGTGCCTTTATGTCACTTGCACACAATTTACTATGCTGCTGTCAGGGTAACACAATGTAGACATTGGAATGTTCATTAATTAATTTTGTTTTTAATATTAACAAACAAGCTTCATGTTTGAGCAACAAAATCGAAAAGGGCATGTCTTAGTGAAAATCATTTCCACTCATTCTTGTTTCATGGTTGCTGTACAATGGCTTTTTGCATTACACAAATCATTCCAAAAACATGGCAACAGTGGACACACAAAAAATTAATCCAAGCGGCAAGAATAGCTTACATAGCACAAGCATGGGACCACACAGACGTACACATGCAAGACTAGAGCCCTTGAGGACGCCATTATGTACCAATTACAGCAACAGGAACCTAAATAGCTTCTGCTCTCTCTAAAGCTTGGGGCACCCCATCGCATAAGTTGCAACAGACTTCAGCTCTCGCCCTCCTCCTAGCATCTATTCTCAGGTCCTCTGCCCGCAAATAAGAGGAGCTTTGCAAGAAAACAAGAGTGAACCCGGAACAGGAGGGCAAAATACTGAGGCTATGCAGATGCTGTGACATTCCGCTTCATTCCTGCAACAAATTCCAGACCTTACAACACCAGCTGTTATGAGGAGGATAACACTTGCTAGTGAGTTTTACCGCTTCAGTGTACGTAGTTATCAAACTCGGCATTTGCCCTCTGTAAGGCGTGTATTGCATAGACTGAGTGTCAACATTCTTGCTTCTGTGCAGATGCAATGCTGGCTGCAAGCATGCCTGTATAAATACCAATGTCATTGCTGTTTACCAATCGTGCTACTTATTTCAACATGAATCAATAATAATTCTAAAACTTTCACAAAGCAACTGGATGTTTTAAGTGCCCAGCACCATCTACAATCATCATAAAGTACACCATACTTTTGGAAGCACTCCAATAAAGTGTAATTAGATTAGGCATCCTGATATACAAAGTGCTTAAAGGGCCCCTGAAACACTTTTTCAAATAACCATGGAATGAATTCACTGGAAAAGCTTACTGCCTCACAACTTCAATGCCGCGAAAATTTCAAGAATCCATCCAGTGCTAGTGGAGTTACAAAGATTTGTCGCATGCTGCAATTGCATTCTCTTTTCTCTCGTCCCGAAGAAAGCGCTGGAAGCTAAGCAGGGAAGGATGGTATGGGCAAAACAAGTACGTCACGGGCACCTCGTGACCTTGAGCACTTTTTTCTTTCTTCTAATGCGCAACTTTTTCAGTGTGATCGCGCACGCTCGCACGGACAAGTCACAGCCTCCCACGATGATCCCTGTAACGACCGAGCACGCCATGTTCAAATCGGCCAATGGCTGATAAATGGGCTTTCTATGGGAAATTTTCGAGCATCTTCTGTCATTTGTCGAGAAAAAAGAAAGCAATTTTTAACTGTCTATGATAATATATTGTGAATTCCAGGCCGCATGCTCTGCTATAATATTTGGCTAGCATTATGTCAGGAGCCTCTACTACCAATCGGCAGCATTTTCTGACCATGCTCAAAACGTTTTGCAGGCGCCCTTTAAAGATTGGCTGTGAAGTTGAGAAAAACTTCAGCTGGCAAAATCAGCAGAATATTCAGGGGCCTATGGTGCTATATCCAAAGTCCAGTATTTTACATGTTGATAGCCTGCATCTTGCTTCGCTTATGAGGCACTCTACATGCATTCCACAAAGCATGACCAAATATATTTTAATCATTCGAAAAGCAACAATATTTTCAATGTTTACATTTTGTATTAATAAGGAGAAAGGTCCTCAACAAAAAAAAATAACCAGTTCAGGCTCACTCAAATCCATATTTTTCCTTAGGTCTCACCTACTCAAGTGCCGTTCACTAGCACTCGAGCTTACCAATATCTTTCTCAAGTGGATTTGTCTAGCAAGCAAGCTTCCTGATGAACAGGTATTCCCTAACGGAGCTTCTGATTAAAATTTAACTTTAAAGCTCTTTTTTAGATACAGAGCCAAAACTATGTCAGATGCCTGACCAGAGGCTGTGTGCCTACTATATATATAGCATATGAAACGCAGAGCACAGTGTGATGCTCGTTACGTAAACCTGCCGTGGTAGCTTAACAGGTAACGTGGTGCACTGGATAAGCTCGAGGAATGGGTTTGATTCCAGGCCACAGCAGCCACATTTCAATGGAGACTAAATACAAGAACAGATGAAATATAAAAACACTAGAGCACTTATGATCAAATGGCACCTTGTTATCATGTCATTATTTCTGCACATAAAACCCTATAAACAACAAGCCTTGGAAGAAGATGCCAAAATCTGAATCACTGATAGACTTGGACAAGTAAGGCACAGTTCAACAATCAGTGGAGAAGCTCTGGTTTCGCAGTGATGTGATTACAATAATGAAAAGCTACTCTGATGACATTCATACGTTCAGAACAACCTGTAGGCTTTAGGTGCATGGTGAAGTGCCTGCTGTTGTTTGATAGAGAAAATAGTTACGAACAGTGCAACAGACAAGGACTATCAACATGCGAAAGTTTCCATGCTTAATAGTTAGGATACTTATTGATGGGAAGGTAATAAAAGAGAGGGTTAAATAATTGGTCTTTTGTGCCCAAAATGTAGTTGGTGCTCCATGAATTGTGCAATAATTGGAGGCTTCCTATTTAACTTCGGCAAGTTCTCAAACATGTAATGTTGCGACTATCAAGAAACAGAACCAATACTGAGATGCTGGGACACTGAATTTTTCTCAGCAAAATTCTACAGTCTATCGCAGGGCGTGGAATAGTTGATGAAGTCTGGTGATTGTATGCTCTGACTGAACTTAGAAATTAAGCACCACGCATGAAATTCTGTGGAAGTATATTTCATGTTTCAGTTTTTTTTTATTGATACGAATTCAAAAATGTGACATGTGTTTAGTATACAAAAGGAGGCCCCAAAGTCAGAGACTGTATCGGGACCTCCTCCTATTAAAAGCATAGAGCTACATTTTTTGTAAAAGAAACTACAAAGAAATGGTCTCTTGAACAACATACACATACTGCTCGCTGTAATTAATGAAATCAATGGAATCAATGAAATAAGACTGTCATAGTAATTTCATCACATATTACTTTTCTCTGACTTGGTCCACAACAGTTTGAAGTTATTTTACTGACCTTAATGTATTCTCTAAGCGGTAGCGTAGCCCCTAAATCCCCTTCTCATATAAAGAAAATGCCCCTTCACCCCCCAAAAATTTCTGCCTATGCCAATGTCTCACAGTATGGCTTAGTAGTAGTAAAAAACTTTAGTTAGGCGGTCAAGACTATTCTAAATCACAAGTAAAAAAAACTCACTCATGAGTCAACTCAGTGAGACTCACACAGTTGAGAAAAATTTTGGTGAGTTTGAGTCCAAGCGAGCCCTTAGTGCAAAGGGCTCACTGAGTGAGCCTGAGTAAGCTCTACACTTTTCTGCCGATACGGTTCTATTTACTCAACTTCATCATTACTATCAGCCTTACGTAGGCTCACGCTTACACCTACACTGACTTGTACACGCTTCCACCAGCATTCATACACAAGCTCAACATTTATTGATCAATGGCATGAGTTACAGAGGAGGGAAGTGGGGAGGTGCCGTGACTCCTACCCCCAGAAACTCTTCTCTGGGAATTCTCAATAACAACTCTCTAGTGCTATGATCTCTTTCAAT